TCGGCAACGATCCATGGAGTTCTTTCTGCGTAAAGCTGGACACCCGAACCGGCAGGTGCGGTCGGTGCCTGATGGGACAGTGGCTGAATTTCCCATCGCCAATGTCAGCCGGAAAGATGGAGGGAATTACACCTGTGAATATCGCTCCATAACGGATCAGAGTCGCTGGTCGTATCGCAGCGACCCCGTCGAGATCATTGTAGCAGGTGCGGGGCCTGGCTCAGTGTCCCGGCTCCCAGCCCCACACTCAGCTAGACCCTCACGGGGTCTCTGCACCGATAGGATGCTCAGAGCCAGGCTCTGCCCTGATCCCTGGGACCAGCAGAGGGGACGCCCAGCCGGGGAGTGGGGACGGAGTCACTGGGGGAGTTCCCCAGCCAGGGGGGAGCAGCAGCCACTGGAGATATGGGTCAGAGGAAGGGGGGATCCCTGCCCAGAGGGGGAGCTGCAGAGCAGGGGGGCCTTTCCCAGACAACACATCAGTTAGGGGGTGATTGGCGGAGCTGAAGGTTATAAACCTCAGTGTATAGTAGAGACTTGCACAGTCCCCTACAAGTCAGGGGTGGTGCTGTGCAGAGAACCCAGGAGTCCTGGCCCCCATCCTCCCTGGTCTCCCCACTAGACTCTACTCCCCTCCTAGAGTCAGGGGGATTCTGGGATCTGGGAGAGAATCTCTGCTGGGGGGGCCTTGGATCTGCCTGTGTCTGGGGCTGGCTGGGGAAACACAGAAGATTAGGGTTGGAAGAGATCTCAGGAGGTTCTAGTCCAACCCCCTGCTCAAAGCAGGACCAACCCCAACTAAATCATCCCAGCCAGGGCTTGTCAATCCGGGCCTTAAAAACCTCTATTGATGGAGATTCCACCACCTCCCTAGGGAACCTATTCCAGTGCTTCACCACCCTCCTAGTGAAATAGTTTTTCTTAATATCCAACGTAGACCTCCCGCACTGCAACTTGAGACCATTGCTCCTTGTTCTGTCATCTGCTCCCACTGAGAACAGCCCAGCTCCATCCCCTTTGGAACCCCACTTCTGGTTGTTGAAGGCTGCTATCAAATCCACCCTCACTCTTCTCCTCTGCAGCTGCAGGCCGGGGCTGGGTGGGTGACCAGATCTGGCTCTCACAGCCTGTCTCCTGTGCGCAGATCCCAGCTTACCCAGACCGTCCATCTCTCTGATTCCCACTGGGGTCACCGCCCCAGGGGCAGACGTCACCATCCGGTGTCAGGGGCAGCGCTGGGACGTGAGGTTCTTCCTGCACAAGGCTGGAGACCTGAACCCGCAGCGACACATGGACCCTGCTGGGGACGGGGCCGGGGCCGAGTTCTGCATCCCCACCGTGGGCCGGCCGCACGAAGGGAGCTACAGCTGCAGCTACCGGCTCCAATCACAGCCCTTCGTCTCCTCGCAGCCCAGCGTCCCCGTGGAGCTGGTGGTAGCAGGTGAGGGGCCCAACTCGGCATCTCCGCTCCCAGCCGGACCCCCAGAAGGTCGGCACCTGATGGGATGCTCACAGCCAGGGTCTGCCCAGAGCCCTAGGACTGGCCTGGACAGGGAGTGGGGACAGTGTCACTGGGGGGTTCCCCAGCTAGGGGGGAGCAGCAGCTCCTGGAGGTTCAGGGCTCAGGGAGGGGGGATCCCTGCCCCCAGGGGGAGCTGCAGAATTGGGGGGACCTTTCCCAGGGGATACTCCCCCAGCTGCCCCCACACTGGGGATGCACAGAGGAGTCAGGGCCCAGGGGCTGCCGAGCCGGCACCGTCCCCAGCCACAAACCCCCCTCCCGGGACTGACAGTAATGATCGATGCTGAGTCATGGGCTGAGGTGGATTAAGGTTTCCTGGGGCCCTGGGCCAGAGCAAGGGGGATCCCTCCCCACCCCTCCCACCTGTGGTCCCTCTCCTCTTCTGCCTCCTCCGCCTGCGACCCCACCCACGGCTCCACCCCTTTCTGCCCCTTCCCTGGGACCCCTCCCCTATTCCACCCACAGTCCTGTCCTAGTCCATCCCCCCACTGCAGCCCTGCAACTCATTTGCTACTTTCTGCCCCCCTCCCCACTGTGGCCCCAAGACCGGAGAAGGTCTGTCCCCACGCACCGGCCCTGGGGTGCAATGGGGAGTGAGAGTCCCCCAGCCCTGAGACTGCAGCAGGTAGTGAGAGTCCTCCCGTCCCGGGGCCGCAGCGGAAGTGTTAAGGCTTCCCCTGCCCCCCTACCCCCCTCCGCTTCTCCCGTCTTCCTCGCCCGGTGGCTGGGGCTCCATAGGCCCAGTGGCTGATCCACCACTGGTCGCAGAGGGTGGGGGGAGATCTCTGAGTCGGTGTTTCAGCTCCTCCCCCGACAGACGCGGGTTCTATTCCCGCAGGGGAAATTGACCAGACCCAGCCTGGAGCGGCGCCGGACAGGGTGGGGCCAGGTACTGGGGCTGGGGGGGAATCTATTGAGTCACAGATTATGGGGCAGTTTCCCCCAGTGGTTGCCCAGGGGGAGGGACAGAGGCTGTTCTCAGGGGCAGTGACTCCCCCGCACCGACGGATTTGGGAGGGGAGAGAAGCCTCCCGCTCAGACACAAACCCGCTGCTAACGGGGCAGCCGGAGGCTTTCTATGGGTGCAGCTGGGCCCATCAGTGGCCATGGGGGGGGGAGGCGGGCGGTGACCTGGAGCTCCACAAGAAGCAGCCAGGAGCAGCCAGCATGGGAGGTGGGATACCGGGCTAGATGGGCCCGTTGGCCTGAGCCGGTGTGGCCATGAGGCAGGGGGTGAAATGCCTTAAAAATGTTGGCCAGGCTGGATCAGACAGCGCCCCCTAGCGCTGTACTGGGGCAATGGGGCCAGCCCTGACTGAGGGGGAGAGCGCCCCTACTGAGCCGCCCACCCCCTGCAGCCCTGTCCCCTAGTGCTACAAATCCCCCAAATCTTGCTCTGACCCCACTTAATGCCCTGGGGCCCCCGACATTCTCCCCATAGAATTTTCTGCTGCCTGCGCCCTGCGGTGTCCCACCCCCTTGGGTGCCGGCTGGGAACAGACGAGGCGCTCCCGGCGCTCACGGCTGCTGCTGTTTCCCAGGTGGATCGGAATCGCCGGCACCTCTGGGTCTGACCAGCCCCATCATCACTGGGGTGAGCGCGGCAGCCGCCATCCTCCTCCTCCTCCTCCTTCTCGTGGCCTTCGTCTGCTTCAGAAAAACCCGAGCCAGTGAGTGCCCC